ACACAACAATGATTCCGTTGCACACCGTTTTCTTAGAAAGAGGAAGTATAGCTTGCTATCTTTTTTTACTCTTCAACGATGGCAGACACAAAGTGACTGCTGCCAGCCGTTATGGAAGTTTCGGTAGCGTTCGGGCGTGAAGCAAAAATCATGAAACTCAATCTCAGTCCGCATCGTGCTCTCTTGCCGTACGGATCTATTTGCTTTTTGCTGAAGGAAGTGTTACTACTACCTAAAGCTACAACAAATTTAAACAGCACTTTTCAGTGCTCAACCTGTAAAAATTTTCTACGTTGTTCAACTCTTATTCCTCTTCGATCCTTGTTTGGACCCTACCCGAGGTAATCCTTCTTGGATATCGATTTGGAAAATTCCTCTTCGATCCTTCAGATTCTTATAGTAATCTGCTTGGAAGTCGATTTGGATAAAAATTTACTGCCGCCATGGCGCCTAAACGCAAAAGAAAGGGGCAAACTCTTGACCCCCCTTCTGATGAAATTAATTTGAGTAATCAATTTGATTTGCTCACGGATGATGAGAATGATCCATCATCCAAGAAAAATTCTAGTAAACTTTCCCGGCTTAATGCCAAGAAGGAAAAGATTCCCCCTATTGTGATAACCACTTCCGATTTCCATGCTCTTCGCATGGAACTTTTGAATTTCGTGGAAGTTAAGTTTTCACTACAAATTGGACGTCGGGGTGAATGCCGTGTATTGGCTGAAACCTTGGACGGATTTAAATGTCTTCTCAAGTATCTTACTGAGAAGAAGCACAAATTTTTTACTTACGACACCAAAACTGAACGTGTGTTCAAGGTTGTCATGAAAGGACTGCCCAGTGGTGAATCCCTGGATCAGATCAAAGATGAACTGGCAAAATTACTTGGAGTTGTGCCACTCCAAGTAATCAAAATGAAAATGAAATCCCGTCCTGGCGATTCGCGCAACGGGATTTCTAATGATTTTTAATTTAGTTCACTTCAAGTCTAGTGAACTAAACAACCTTAAGGCCTTAGAAAAAGCTAGCCTTATGCTCCATGTCCGAGTGAAGTGGGAACACTTCAGGAAGACTGGAGGAAATTTCCAAAACCTCACCCAGTGCCGTAAGTGCCAGGGATGGGGTCACGGAACTAAAAATTGCTACATGCCAGCTAAATGCATGAATTGTGGTGATTCCTCTCACGCAAAGGACGACTGTCCTGTGAAGGAAGATCCTAAGAAATTTAAATGTTCAAATTGTGGTGAAAACCACAAATCCAATTTTTGGGAATGTAAGACTCGCAAAGCGATCCTACAATCTCGTTCTAACCGTCAGGTAGGAAACGCTCCACGTTTCCGACCAGGTACAAATTCCTCTGCTGTTAACAACGGTCAGCGAGGAACAAATTCTACATTCGTTCAAATGTTTCATCTGTACCTACTCCCCTCGCTGCTAACAATGTTCAGCGAGTTAATGGAGCTACCTATGCTGCTATTGCAGCGGGTAGAAATCAAAATACTAACCAACGTTCTAACGGAAATTTTGACAATTTTGACTTAGGAAGCATTACTGCCCCCAAAATGGAATTTTTACAGAATTCATTAATTGACATGATTTCTGATATGCTTAAATCTAACTCCATGTTTGATGCTATTCAAACTGGAGTAAAATTTGCAAATAATATTGTCATGACTTTAAAATTCAGTAATGGATTTTAAAGCATTAAATATTGTAAATTGGAATGCTCGATCTCTTAAAGATAATGAAGACGAGCTATTTAACTTTTTGAGAGTTCATAACGTGCATATTGCCGTTATAACTGAAACGTTCCTTAAACCTGCCCAAACCAGGTAAAGAAGGACACAAATTACTTGATTTATAGAAATGATCGTCTTGATGGACCCTGTGGTGGCGTTGCCATCATTATTCATAGACGAATCAAACATAAAATTCTTTCTTCATTTGAAACCAAAGTTTTTGAAACTTTGGGGGTTTCTGTTGAAACAAAATTTGGACAACTTACGTTTATAGCTGCCTATTTGCCATTCCAATGCGTTGGCCAGCAAAATAATTTTCTCAAGGGTGACCTCCAGAAACTTACCCGTCATAGGTCTAAATTCTTCATTATTGGTGATTTTAATGCAAAACACCGCTCATGGAATAATGCTCAAAGCAATTCCAATGGTAATATTCTGTTTGATGATTGTTCTGCAGGTTATTACACTATTCAATATCCATGCAGCCCAACATGCTTTTCTTCAGCAATAAATCCCTCAACTATTGATTTGGTCTTAACTGATTCATGTCAACATTGTAGCCAATTGGTTACCCATGCTGACTTCGGTTCTGATCACCTTCCTGTAACTTTTGAAATATCCCAAGAAATAATTTGTAATCCCAACAGCTCTACTTTCAATTACCATAGAGCTGATTGGGAGCAGTATCGAACATTTATGGAATATAACTTCGATCCAAACATTCCTTTGCAAACCAAAGATGAAATTAATTATGCTCTTGAATCTCTGACTACTTCTATAGTTGAAGCAAGAGCTGCCTCAGTACCAAAATGCGAGGTTAAATTCGATTCAATTATAATAGACGATGATCTTCAGCTCTTGATCCGTCTTAAAAATGTCCGTAGGAGACAATATCAAAGAACACGCGATCCTGCCATGAAAGTTATCTGGCGGGATTTGCAAAAACAAATTAAAAAGCGATTCTCTGCCCTGAGGAACAAAACTTTTGAAAATAATATTTCTTAATTAGACCCGAATTCCAAACCCTTTTGGGAACTCACAAAAATTTTGAAAAAACCTCAAAAGCCTATTCCAGCGCTTAAAGAAGGTGGTAAAATTTTGATCACAAATTTGGAAAAAGCTCAGAAACTTGCTAAGCAATTCGAGAGTTCCCATAATTTCAGTTTGGGTCTTACTAGTCCTATTGAGAATCAGGTTGCTCGGGATTTTCTGAATATTTTCTCTCGGGAAAATATTTTTGATGATTCCTGGGGACTGATTTGGACGAAGTAAGGTCTATAACTAAAAATTTTCAAAATATGAAACCTCCAGGTGATGATGGAATTTTCTATATCCTCATCAAAAAACTCCAAGAGAGTACCATGTCTTTCTTGGTAAAATTATTTAACAGATGTTTCCATTTGGCATACTTTCCTGATAAATGGAAAAATGCAACAGTTGTTCCAATTTTGAAGCCGGATAAAAATCCAGCTGAAGCTTCTAGCTACCGTCCAATAAGTTTGCTTTCTTCAATAAGTAAACTTTTTGAAAAGATAATTTTGAATAGAATGATGCTTCACATCAATACGAACTCAATTTTTGCAGATGAGCAGTTTGGATTTCGCCATGGGCATTCAACTACTCATCAACTCTTAAGAGTTAACAATTTAATTCGTTCAAACAAATCTGAAGGCCACTCAACTTGAGTTGCTCTTCTAGACATAGAAAAAGCATTCGACAGTGTTTGGCATGAAGGTTTGATTGCTAAATTGAAAAAGTTTAATTTTCCACTTTATATTATGAAATTAGTTCAAAATTATTTAACTGACAGAACTCTTCAAGTAAATTATCAAAATTCCAAATCTAATCGACTACCTGTTAGGGCAGGAGTTCCTCAGGGTAGCATTCTTGGGCCTATATTGTATAACATTTTCACTTCGGACCTCCCTGATTTGCCTCAGGGTTGCCACAAATCTTTGTTCGCTGATGACACAGGCATTTCCGCTAAAGGAAGAAGTCTTCGTGTTATTTGCAGCAGACTTCAGAAAAGTTTAGATATTTTCTCTTCTTATTTACAAAAATGGAAGATTTCTCCCAACGCTTCCAAAACTCAACTTATAATATTTCCACATAAGCCTAGGGCTTCCTTTTTGAAACCTAGTAGTAGTCACATAGTCACTATGAACGGAGTTCCAATTTCCTGGTCAAACCAAGTGAAATATCTTGGATTAGTTCTTGACCAAAAATTAACTTTTAAAGATCACATTGAGGGCATTCAAGCCAAATGTAACAAATATATTAAATGTTTGTATCCTCTTATAAACAGGAAATCCAAACTTTGCCTGACGAATAAACTTCTAATATTTAAACAGGTTTTTAGACCGGCCATGCTTTACGCTGTGCCAATATGGTCTAGTTGCTGCACTACCAGGAAAAAAGCACTTCAAAGGATTCAGAACAAAATTCTGAAGATGATTTTGAAGTTGCCTCCCTGGTACAGTACTACCGAAGTACATAGAATTTCGAATGTTGAGACTTTAGCACAAATGTCCAACAAAATAATTAATAATTTCAGGCAAAAATCGTTGCAATCCTCAATTGCAACGATTAATTCCCTTTATACTTAGATAAGATTTAGTTTTAGTTTTTAGTTTTAAGATATCAATTGTTATACTGACATGCAGGTTAAAAAACCTGTTTAAAATACTGAATTGCCAAGACATGAACAATGTAAAAACACTTAGATATATATCATAACAATTAAGGCTGGTACGTTACTGCAGTAACTGGAGCACCTAGGTTAAAATGAAATGTAATTTATTTTGAATTTGGAACAAATAAAGAGTTAAAAAAAAAAAATTGAAACTCAATCTCACCACAGTTTGTTGAGATTTGCAGCTGGTGAGTTTTGTTAGCTTGATATTCCGAGCTGCGATATCACAGCTTGCAATCATACTATACCGAGTAATTAAGATGTTTTAAGCTAGCGAAATCAGTCATACTTATTGATAAGTTTCTGTGGTCAAGAAACATTTCCCTGAATTTGAATGAAATTCCCTGAGATTCCCCGATTTTCCAGGTTTTTTCAGGTAATCGACACCCTGAAAACTGTAAGAGAATTTTAAATGTTAAATTTCACATGATCTACAATCGTTTTAATGTTAAATTTCACATGATCTACAATCGTGTACATTTTCCTCAATTGTTATTATTGGACTGGTTACGCAGAAGTCAATTCTCACATTAACCCATTCATTGGTTTCTCTTTTAATTCCATTTCAGATTGCAAGAACACCCAACAATAGAGCAAAACAATCGATAGCATTTGGAAGTATTTTTGAAATCAATTTAGACTCAGCACTCATCTCTCCGAAGCACTTCAAAACAAGAGCCAACTGGAGAAAAAAAGTTGAACCAAACCAAAACGGAAGTGACGACGAAAACAACCATTCCAAGTTGAATCAACTGGAAGGGAAATCGGTGAGTGAGCTTCTTTCCCAATTCAAAATTAGAAGCAACAAAAGTGAAACAGCTTGTAGCAAAATCGATTGATTGGCATCGAAGAGAAAAAAAAAATAGAAAAGAAATCACCACCGAAAGCGGTGGGAATCTTTAGTGCGTTTTTGTGTACAATTTTTTGTTTGTTGTCAACTGCCAAAGTCATCGCAGCAGCGGAAACGGTGAGGAGATTCGGAGAAAAGGTGCCGAAAGAGCGGAAGTGAGATTCGGTTTTTGCTGAAAAGAAAGCAATAGAGAAGAAAAGTGATAAAAATGGCACCCGGATTCTTCGCTCCCGTTCGAAACGGGTCTTTCACTGCTTGAGTGTCATCGCCGTCGTTTGACAGCGGTATAGAGCATCGTCCGGTTGCAGTGAAGCGGGTGTTCGGTTTTTCAAGTGGCTGAGGAAGAGGAAGTGAAATCCTTTGCTAGAACGTGGAAAGGCTGATATTCAACCCCCGGTTTGTTGGTTGGTTTTTGTGCTTGTGGGTAGGAAATTAGCGCAGAAGGATCCCTAAATAGGAAACCCTGCCGGTCAGATCGTTGGTTTTGCTGTGGATACTTCAGCGCAAGGTGAGTGCATGATGATTGGATTGATTTTCAATAACCTTAGGTACACAACATATGAAGAATTACTAAATGATCAATTATTTCAAGATCAACTGTATAGATTTTTTGTCTTTCTTATTTCCGTTTTCTGTTATGTCTATCAAAACATAATATAAATAAAGTCTGATGTATTGCACAGTGAATTTACTATGATTACCATGAAACGGCCTATCGATCGTTTCATATAAGAAGCGTTAGAGTTGGTTACGCCGACCGACAGGCAACATTCAAATAAGTGCTCGAAACAATTTATTTTGTTTTGATGACTGATGCTTAATGAAAGGAAAATTTGTGAAATCAATACTGAAAGGATACCAAAACAAAATTGAGGACTGATAGTAAAAAAAAAAAAATAACGATGAGAAATTTGAATCTAGTCAGAACCGGAAAGATGGAGGAACAAAGAATGAACTGAAATAAAGAAACGGGAATTTTCGTGGTTGGCCAGGGAGATGTATTTGGTCTTTCCCTTTTGGACAGCCGAGTGAAGAAGACTGAAAGTTCAGAGCGTAATTTTATCAAAAGTAGTGCAGTGCAAGATTAATTTATATAAATCAAGTATGGTGATTGATACCAAAAGAAGTGATTTAAAAAAAATAATACCGTTAAGTTATCATTTTTCCAGAGTTTATTTTTGTATTTGATTATTGCAATATATTAAAAAACGTGAGTGGCATGTTGAAAAAAAAAATGATGATCAAAGGAAGTGTTTTTATTGAAAATAAAATTAGAGTCGTTTAATAAGTGAAATTTAATTAAATTTATTATAGAGAGAAGATTTTTTTTTTTTTTTTTTCCTTTATTATAGAGATTTTTAGCCTGAGGCTAGTTCATCTCTTAATAGAGAGAAGAGTTGGAGTAATAAAAAAACATCAACGTTGAAAAAGAAAGAATTGAAGAACAGGTAATTTAGTGGAAATAATTCAAATGGGTGTGTGTATGTGATGCTAAGGAGATTTTTCTCAACAGAAGCCACGAGGTGGTGGCTAGTGCAGCTTGGGCTTTTGTTGCTTTGGCGACCCATTACCGAGGTATCCGAGGTTAGGAATCGCAGTAAAATGTGACTTTTTGATCGGTAGCGAACCCGATCCCATTGGTTGGTAGTATCAGGCGTGGTTACCCTGGATGTCCCTATCGCCTCGTGGTGGCGTACCACTAAAGGGTGATACGGTCAAAATTTGGTCAATATCAACTTGACGTATTTCTTTCAATTTTGCATTTAAAAAACCTGAACACCCCTCATTTTGAAGGTGTGTGTGTGTGTAGAATGTTGCTCGTATTTTGATTTTGGAATTCACTCTTCAGTTGTCAAAATGCCGTCCAAGCAAGAAGAGCAGCGTATCAAAATTTTGCTCGCGCATCGCGAAAATCCGAGCTACTCGCACGCAAAGTTGGCAAAATCGCTAAAAGTTGCCAAATCAACCGTTACAAATGTAATTAAAGTGTTTGGGGAACGTTTGTCGACAGCCAGGAAGTCTGGATCGGGGGGAAATCGAAAACCGGAAGCCGCTGAGACGACAAAGAGAGTTGCCGGTAGTTTCAAGCGAAACCCTAACCTCTCTCTCCGAGATGCCGCAAATAAGCTGGGTGTATCGTCTACAACCGTGCATCGAGCCAAAAAACGAGCCGGACTATCGACTTACAAGAAGGTAGTGACTCCAAATCGCGATGATAAACAAAATATGACGGCCAAAGCGCGATCCCGGAGGCTGTACACGACGATGCTGATGAAGTTTGACTGCGTGGTAATGGACGACGAAACCTACGTCAAAGCCGACTACAAGCAGCTTCCGGGAAAGGAGTTTTATACGGCAAAAGGAAGGGGAAAGGTAGCAGATGTTTTCAAGCACATGAAACTGTCAAAGTTTGCAAAGAAATATCTGGTTTGGCAAGCCATCTGTACCTGTGGCTTGAAAAGCAGCATTTTCATAGCTTCCGGGACTGTCAACCAAGAAATTTACGTGAAAGAGTGTTTGAATAAACGTCTGCTGCCTTTCCTGAAGAAACACGGTTGTTCCGTACTGTTTTGGCCGGATTTGGCATCTTGCCATTACGGCAAAAAGGCCATGGAGTGGTACGCCGCCAACAACGTGCAGGTGGTTCCCAAGGACAAGAACCCTCCCAACACGCCAGAGCTCCGCCCAATTGAGAAATACTGGGCTATTGTCAAGCGGAACCTAAAGAAGACCAAAAAAACTGCTAAGGGCGAGCAGCAGTTCAAGGCAAACTGGCTTTCTGCGGCGAAGAAGGTGGACAAGGTGGCTGTACAAAATCTAATGGCAGGGGTCAAGCGTAAGGCCCGGCAATTCGGATTTGGAAAAGCGGAAGCCTAACTGAATATTTTTCCTGAATTTTATACTAATTGAACTTGAAAATGAAATTTAATTTGATTTTTTAAATAAACGATTTCACCGATTTACACGCGTTTTCTCTTGACCAAATTTTGACCGTATCACCCTTTATAGGGCATTCGGAGAGCGTTTGTCATCGGAAGGAAAACTCGGCCCACCAGCGTCATGCGCAAAAAGTGACTGCCTGAATCGTGGTAAAGTCCACAAAGGGGAAAGTCTCCCAATGCCAGCGTGACCAGCCCGACTCACGTACACAAAAATCGGAGGCCCTCCGTACGAAACCACCCCGTCAACGTCACTCACCGAAAACAGTCTAGTTCAGCACGGTTCGAACGGCTCCCGCCGATATCCACCGTACGTCGCTAGACATCCGAACGACTTCTTCATCTGGCGCATAAGCCGGAATTTTGAGAATCCTAGCAGGATCCCCCCTTACAACCATTGACAATGGACTTCAAATTGCATTTAAGAATTCATTTAATAAGTTTGGTAATAATCCAGTGTAAGATAATTCCTCAGGATGGCTAGAGCAAGGGATCCTACAACTTTACTCCAAATAACAATCCCTTAAACCATTATCACGAATTAAATCAATGAAGGGTCTCTCCGATTTTTTTTTCTTTGCCGGTATTATTTATTAAAATAGGACATTTGGGTTGGGTAACATGACTAACAAAAAACGAATATTCAATTCTATATTAAATATTCAAGGAATTGTGGACAATTCAGTTGAGGATTTCCAAATCTGGTGGCGCTAGAGTGCCATTTGACTTTTAATTCTTTGCTCTAAAACTTGACATCTTGACTCAATAGAAGGTTGTGGTCTTCTGTTGTTCAAACCGATAACCGTACAGTTCATAATGCACGCACCTGGTGGCGCTAAGGTGCAGTTTGATTTATAATAACTTGCTTGACATGATACCTCGACCACATAGAAGGTTGCTGTCTTTGGCAAAGTTGTTCAGATTTATAAGACTAGAAATCCTCAGATAGTGAGATGAGCAGAGAGAATTTTTAAAGCTGTCAAAATTTGCACCAATCTAATATTCCCATTTGAAATTCTTAGGGCCTATTCATAAACTACGTAGACAGTTTTTTTTGGGATTATTGACCCCCCCCCCTCTTCATGCGTAGACAATTGTCCATACAAATAAAAAATAAAATTTGTATGGGCTGTGGATAATTGTCAACCCCCCCCCCGCTAAACTGTCTACGTAGTTTATGGACAGCCCCTTATTCTTTTATTTCCCTTGATTTGTTTTCCATCGATCTTGTTTTCCATACTGAGTACCAATGCGACCGACGCCAGGGAGGCAGCTCTCACACCTGGACCCTATCTATCGACCCATCAACTCATAGACCGGGGACCAACGGGTTTACTTCCCTTCCGAAGAAAGGCGTGATCAGAGATTTTATGCCTCAGAGAATCCCGGCGGCACCGACTGGGATTGAACCAATTATAGAGTATTGTAATCGGAAAGAAATGCAACCAACTATATTTTCGGAGTGCTTTTCAAATTTAGCTAGTTTTTGGAATCAAAAATAGTATCTTAACTTTATTGATTAATTGATATGCGCTGGTTAATTAACGATGCCAATAAATGCGCAAAATATTGTGATGAACTCATTTATTATTTTGCACATACATCGAATCGAATTGCATAGTCATGTGAAACGCTACATGCTGGCAAGGTATGGTAAGGCTGCCGGAAAGAGAAGATAGGATCTAATCTAATTTCAAACTGGTGCTTGTTATAATTGATCAATAAATGCACTAGTTAAAGCTAAACGTTTTTAATTAAAAGTTACTAAAATACAAGTATTGCAATGAACGCAATACTTGTTGTCCACCTGTGTAATGTATATTTACTATGCTCTTATGGTACGCCACTTAATTTTTTTTTATAATTACTTTATTTGTACAGGCTCAATCGAATAAACTTTACAGAGCCGAGTTATCCTTTGCGTTATACATTATTACTGTCTTAAATTTAAAGTTAAAGGAACTGGACGCGGTTGTCTCGAGGTTAGTGGAGATTTACAATTTCTTGGATGGGAAAAGGGAAGAAGGAGGTTTGAAATGTGGTTTACGATACAACTATTTAATTAATCCTAAAGCATGAAATTATTTCTATTCATCTTGAAAACAAACATTGAAAAAAAAACCCCACACGTACAAAATACAAACTAAACACAAGGTTAATCAAACTTACAATCTAAGGTTAATATCCTTAAAGTAAACATATATGAGTTTCATAAACTCCAGATTGCGTCTAGCCAAAATATCCGGAACTGGAACATTAGGTTGTCTACCTCGAGCCCGAAGGGAATCATAAAAATGTGATCTGACTCCACGATACTCCGCACAAGACCAAAGGATGTGATCAGCGTCCTGGTAACCCCACTTAATAGTTCGATTGGTACTTCTGGCTTCACTCTTTGCGTGTCTCTTATTGTAACATGGACTCTGACTCTTATTGTAACTTACCTGCTAGCGAATTGTATTTTGTTTTCTCCACCCAGCTCTTTCTCTGAAGATTTCTAGTTAAGATCTATTTAATAATGGACAACTTTGTTTAAAATTTGCTCACCATACGGCACTATAGTGCCATATATGCATATTTTTCATCGAACATGCATTTAACGGTCAATTATAAATTGCGCTTTTTGGGTTGTACTGCCGCAAGAGGTGCAAAAAATTTTAAGGTAATTCCAAGAAAATATGCGAGTGGAATTCTTTCGACGTGCCCAGCCCACCGTAGTCGCTCAATTTTCGCAATGTGGACGATGGATGGTTCTCCTAGCAGCTGGTGCAATTCGTGGTTCATTCGCCTCCTCCACCTTCCGTCATCCATCTGTACTCCACCGTAGATGGTACTCAACACCTTCCGTTCGAAAACACCAAGGGCGCGTGGGTCCTTCACGAGCATAGTCCAGGTCTCGTGGCCATAGAGGACCACCGGTCTAATCAGCGTCTTGTAGACAGTCAACTTCGTGCGGCGGCGAATTTTATTCGACCGGAGCGTCCTCCGGCATCCAAAGTTGGCACGATTCTCTGCCATAATGCGTCTTAGAATTTCTCTGCTGGTACCATTTTCGGCGGTCACCAGTGAGCCCAAATACACGAACTCATCGACCACCTCGATTTCGTCACCGTCAATCTGAACTCGGGGTGGGAGGCTAACATTGTCTTCTCTAGAACCTCTTCCTCTCATGTATTTCGTCTTCGATGCATTTGCGGCAAGTCCAATCCACCTAGCTTCAGCCTTCAGTATGATCTACGTTTCCGCCATCGTCTGAAAGTTCCATGCCATGAATGGACTTCCTAAAGATCGTGCCACTCGTGTCTATCCCAGCTCATCTGATCACACCTTCTAACGCACTGTTGAATAGCAGACACGAAAGTCCATCACCTTGCCGTAACTCCCTTCGAGATTCAAAGGGACTCGAGAGTGTCCCCGATACTCGAACAACGCACATCACTCGATCCATCGTCGCCTTGACCAATCGCGTCAGTTTATCCGGAAATCCGTAGTCGTGCATAATCTGCCATAGCTGATCTCGATCGATTGTGTCGTATGCGAATTTGAGATTTTTTTAGGCTATTTAGCTTCTCGTAGAACTTCCGAGTGTCGTTTCTGTACCGCGGTACAGATTTTCCATCGCCTCGCGATCTCGGTCTTCCTGGTGACGCTTTGACTGAGTTTTGTCAGTTCCGCGCTGACATTCGATCTTGTGCGGTGTTGCAGTTTGCATTCGCCGTCAAACCAGTCATTTCTTCGGTCCAGAATCGCAGTAATGATTATGTTGAGTACGAATTACATACCTCTTGTACAGAAGCTTGTTGTAGTGGCGATAATCATTGCTGGTAATTGAAAAATTTCGTTTGGTAAGGGTACATCGTCGATGTGTGAGAGCGTGGAGAGCTCTAGCTCGCACTCGTTTCAGGTTGGGGAGAGTAACGTTAGACCAAGGCGGCTTTCTTGGAGGTAGGCACTTCGGTACTTAAGCACCAACACAGTCGCGCCAAAGGCAGTGTTGGCGCTTACCACGAAATTGTAGTCCTACGTTGTGTTTTACGTGTGAACTTGGTGGTGGGCAGCAACGGAAAAACAGCCACCACTGACAACAGATGACACCGGCAGGAAGCAGCACAGCAGATTTGCAGTAAGTTTTTCTCACTTCACTTTCTTCCTTTCCTAACTAACTAACTCACAGTAAGCGGCAAGTAGGAACAAACTTTATTTGAGAATAACTTTCACACTTTACAATTTTCACTTTATTTAACTTCACTGCTCGGGTGTTCAACTTAATCTAATCGTCGGTTCGGTTACAAAATTCGTTTTTGGCTCACAAACAATCAGCTGTGCAACCGCGGTTGCCAGAACGGCTAGAAAAACTAGTCTAATTTGTCGTCTGCTACCACCAGCTGATCGCGGGGGGAAGGAAATCGCGTTCTGTGTGGCCAGAACCAACATACCCGCCGCCTTGATTACCTATCAACAAAGAAACGTCAATGCAAACAAAAACAAAACGAATGATTAACATAATCTACAGGTAAGTAATTTTCTCCTAACTATTTGGTTTTTCTTATATTTCTAGGTGAGAATTCCTCCTGATGAGCTGGTATGCGGATCAGCGGTGGGATCATCGCGTCGTTCTTCTTCGGGAATCGGTTCTGAATGCGGCAGCAGACAAATTTTGGTGATTGGCCTCTTGATGATGCCCTTCGCAGTTCGTAGGCTAACAACTCGATTTAATTTATCGCTTCCAGGGTGCACCTCCGTAATGCGGGCAAGTGGCCAACGGGTCGTCGGTAACATTTCATCGATTAAGATGACCATTCGTCCGGGTTGAATATCGTCGTTTCGTGCAGCAAGCTTGGTGTCCTTCAGTAACTCCTGCAGGTACTCCGACCGCCAGTGACTCCAAAATTTCTGGATGTGTTGCTGGAGCTTTTGGAGGTAATCGAGGGTGCCCACCGATGTGTGCTGGAGGTCTGGGTCGGGCAGGGCTTGAAGAGACGATCCGATGAGGAAATGTGCCGGCGTCAGTGCAGCAAGATCGTTTGGATCGTCGGACATCGGGAGCAGAGGACGAGAGTTCATCACGGCTTCGATTTGATGTAGGATTGTGTAGTAAGCTTCGAAAGTGAGACGTGTACTTCCTAATTGACGAAATAAATGCCGCTTGGCAGTCTTGACCGCTGCTTCCCATAGGCCACCGAAGTGTGGTGCCTTGGGAGGAGTCAAGTGCCACATTATCCCTTGCTCGGAGCAAGCTGAAGCGATTATGCTCTGCTCGTTGTTGCTCTTAAATCTGACGAATAGCTCGGCCAGTTCGCGCTTTGCTCCTTCGAAATTTTTCCCATTATCGGAATATAGGTGGGTTGGGACTCCCCGCCTTGAGGTGAACCGTCGCAAAGCCGCTAGAAATCCTTGGGTGGAAAGGTCCCCAACCAATTCCAAATGAACGGCCTTTGTCACGAAGCATACAAATACGCACAGGTAAGCTTTTGCGGGCGCGGCGCGCTTGTGAATAGGCTTTATGTACAACGGACCAGCATAATCCACGCCTGTGTTGGAGAACGGACGACTTGGAATGATCCTCGAAGCAGGTAGCTGACCAATTTGCTGCTGTTCGGGTATCGGATGCTGCCGGGAGCAACGGAAGCAGTTTCGTACGATGCCTTTGACCAAATGACGACCATTCAGGGGCCAGTACTCTTCGCGAATCGTGGACAAAAGGAGACGCCCGCCGCCGTGGACAAGTTTCCGATGGTAGTGCTCGCCGATTAGCCGAGTAAACGGATGGTTCTTTGGGAGGAGGGCAGGGTGTTTTGATTGGTAGGGAAGCTGAGAAAGATTAAGCCGACCTCCAACTCGCAAGATTCTCTCTGGGTCTATGAACGGGAATAGACGACGCACTGGTGAGCTTTTTGGAACTGGATTTCCTCGCTGAAGCTCCCTGGTTTCTTCACGAAAGGCATCCTGCTGGGCAAAGCGGACTAGAAGGGCATTGGCATTGGCAAGTTCCTTGACGGTAAGCGACTGCCGGCTGAGTTCGTTCTCTGGAGGGGTTGCAAGTGGCTGGGTTCTGGTCTTTGATCGAGTTTTAGCAGCAAAACGCAGGCAGTATCCGATTGTATGGAGCAAGCGATTGTATGACGACCACCGAAGGAACCATGGGTTGATGCTGGGCGTCGTTTGGACGGACACAACGACGTTTTTTCCTTCCAGAATTTCTTCTGCGACGGTAGACGGATTCGAAATCGGCCAGGACTGCTGCGGGTGCGCCAACCAGGATGGACCATGCTTCCACGCCTCATTCTTCACAAATTCCTCAACTGACATCCCACGTGAGACGAGATCTGCAGGGTTCTCTGAGCCAGATATGTGGTTCCACCTGCCACCATGAGTGTAGTGTTGTATCTCCGATACCCTGTTCGCCACGAATGTCTTCCACGAACTAGGAGGTGCGCGAAGCCAGTATATGCAGACTGAAGAATCTGACCAGAAATACGATGCTGACACGTGGATGTTGATGGATTCTTTGATGCGATTATACAGATGCGCAGCCAAGACGCAAGCACATAGCTCAAGTCGGGCGATGGTCAGTCTTTTTAGCGGTGCCACCTTACTTTTCGAAGCCAATAGTCGAATCTTCACCACTCCCAGGGCGTTTTCACAGCGGACGTACGTGCATGCTCCATATGCAGCTGTTGAAGCATCGGCGAAGGTATGTAGCTCCACTCTAGCCTCCGGCAAGAATGCATAACGGTCGATTCGGTAAGTTGCGATCTTCGGTAGCTCACGCCGGAAGTTGTCCCATTTCAGTTGAATGGCATGCGGTACGGGATCATCCCAGCCGCACGAGAGAGACCACAATTCTTGCATCAGAATCTTTGCAGTGACAACGACAGGTGCAATTTGTCCGAGCGGGTCGAATAGCCTAGCGATGTCGGAGAGGATGGACCGCTTCGTGGGTTGATCTTCACGTTGCTGTATTTGGGAATCAAACCGCAGTTGATCGGACTCTGGCTCCCAGCGAATTCCTAGCGCCTTTATGGACTCGTTTGGGCTGAAATGCAAACTCGATTGAGTTCCAATCTGGTCGTTCTCGAGTCCTTGTAGAACTTCTAGGCGGTTCGACGTCCACTTTCTTAAAACGAACCCACCTTTTTCAAGCAATTCCGAAAGCTCCCCCCGAAGCTGAACAGCTTCTTCAATAGAATTTGCTCCTCCGATGAAGTCGTCCACATAAAAGTTCTTGCGTATTGATGGACCAGCTAACGGATATGCATCGCCTTCATCCGTCGCAATCTGCTGGAGAGTACGCGTCGCGAGAAAGGAGGATGGTGCTAGTCCATAGGTCACGGTTAACAGCATGTAAGTTTGAACGGGGCTATCTTTGGAGAACCGGAAAAATATGCATTGCAGAGGACAGTCATCTGGGTGCAGCAGTACCTGTCTGTACATTTTCGCTGCATCGCTGACGAGAGCCACGGGGTATGTCAAAAACCGAAGGATAATAGCGAGAAGGTCATCTTGAACCACCGGACCCACACAGAGAGCTTCATTGAGAGAGAAGCCGGTAGAAGTACGAGCCGAACCATCGAATACGACTCTCACTTTGGTGGTCGTACTTTCCTCCTTCATCACGGGGTGGTGGGGTAGATAGTAAGTGTTGGAGTGAATTCCGTCGTCCGTTTCGGCCAGACGCATGTGGCCGAGGGAGAGGTACTCCTTCATGAAGTTGTGGTATTCCTCCTTCAATTTCTGATCCCGATCGAGACGCCGTTCAAGTTGTTCGAAACGTTGAAGAGCACTGGTCCTGGATTCCCCTAGCATGGCATCAAAATCGGGCTTCCGCGGCAGACGAACGATGTATCGGCCTGTCGTATCTCGAGACGTGGTGGACTGATAGTAATCTTCACAATGGCGCTCTTCGATTGAGTAGTTATTGCTGACGGTCAGTTCCTCGGTCTTCCAGAACCTTTCGATGCTCTCTTCGAGTGTCAGCATGGAAACTGCGACGATGCTAGGATTGGAAGCTTGCTGTTGAGCTGGGTGAACCATGCTTGCTGATCCCGTGACGACCCAACCAAATACGCTGTCCACCAGCATAGGAAGATTTTCGGCCAACTGAAGACGAGAAGTGCTTGGGAAGAAGGAGTGAAAATGCTTAGCGCCTAGAACCATGTCAATCTGTTGGCTCTTTTTTTTTTTTTTTTATAATCCATTTATTTGTAAAGGCTCAAATGCGGTAGCTTTGCGGAGCCAAATTAATTTAAATATATTTTTTTATAATTTTTTTTTTACAACTAATGTTAGTAGAATGGGGGCCGAATACTCGCGGTTTACTCGAGATTAATAAATACATTTATTTAGAGGAAAGGGGAGGGGCAAAGGGAAAGGGATATTGGTAAATTTTCTTTCTGCTTCATTCGACGGATGAGTGTCACTGCACTGTATTGGCGGGCATGTGCTGTGGATATCGAAGCATTGAAAGCACAGCTGAAATGAAACAAGAGGGGACTTGGGTTGGGATAGTGATGAAAGAATGAAAGAATTAAAACACAAAACACTACTAAATACACAAATCAGCACTTTTTAAAAATACGTAAATTAATCTCATAACATCGAGATCACGGCAAGCCAGAACGTCTCTAATTGGTGTATAAGGTTGTTTCCCTCGGGCCCTGAGGGATTCAGTTAGTTCGGATCTCGCCACATGATGTGAGGTGCAAGACCAGACAACATGCTCAATGTCGTGATAGCCGTTTCCACAGGCACACAAACTGCTATCTACAAGCCCTATGCGGTAGAGGTGTGCGTTTAACGAGTAGTGATTGGACATGAGCCTGGACATTACCCGGATAAAATCGCGATCCACGTCCAATCTCTTGAACCAGGGTTTGATCGACACCTGTGGGAGGATCGAATGTAACCATCTTCCCAGTTCACCATCATTCCACTTTTGTTGCCAGTTGATGAGGACTTGCTGACGAGCAATTGTGAAAAATTCATTGTAGGCGATTTGTCGCTCGTAAATATCGCCTTCCATAGCGCCCACCTTAGCCAGCGAGTCTGCTTTCTCATTGCCCGGGATAGAGCAATGAGAAGGGACCCATACTAAGGTGATGATATGTGAGCTGTTTGATAAAGCACTCAGTGACGATCGTATTTCGTTCAGGAAATACGTCGAGTGCTTCATCGGCCTTATAGAACGCATAGCCTCCAGAGAACTTAGACTATCCGAAAAAATGAAGTAGTGATCAGGGGGACGTGAGGAGATCTGCTCTAACGCATACAATATAGCTGCTTGTTCTGCAACGTATACCGAACATGGTTTTTTAAGCTGATATGAGGCACTATGGAGATCATTGTATACACCAAAACCAGTGGACGTATTTATTGTGGACCCATCAGTGAAAAATCTCTTCTCGGCATTGACGTGGCGGTATTTGTTCGCGAAGATGGATGGTACAATCAGGGGGCGATGAGGCTCTGGTATTCCTTGAATTTCCTCCCTCATTGAGAAATCGAATCTTACGGAATAACAACTGAAATCGTAGGATACTTCATTGGTATTGAACGGGGAGGGGCTAATTTCCAGAGTCATGTACTCGTAGTACAACCTCATGAATCGTGTTTGCGGATTTCGTTCAAGCAGCTTCTCAAAATTCTCGATCACCAACGGGTTCATGACTTCACAGCGGATAAGGAACCGAAACGACAATTCCGCGAACCGATCTGGTAAGGGAAGTACGCCCGCAAGTACTTCCAGACTCATTGTATGCGTCGAATGCATACAACCTAGTGCGATTCGTATACAACGATATTGAATCCGTTGCAGCTTCAAGATGTGGGTGTTCGCCACCGATTGGAAGCAAAAGCTACCATACTCCAAAACCGATAGAATGGTGGTTTTGTAAAGTCTTATCAGATCTTCCGGATGGGCTCCCCACGAAGTGCCGGTAATACAACGAAGAAAATTGATTCTTTGTTGGCACCTCTGACTCAGATACGCAACGTGTTTTCCCCAAGTGCATTTGGAATCGAACCAGACACCTAAATACTTGAAAGACATGCTGTGAGTGATTGTTTTACCCATAAGTTGAAGCTGCAACTGTGCTGGATAAAGCTTCCTAGAAAAAACAACCATCTCAGTTTTCTCCGGAGAGAATTCGATACCCAGATTCATTGCCCATGTAGACAAATTGTCCAAGGTATCTTGCAATGGTCCTTGCAGGTCCGGTGCTTTTGGCCCAACAACGGAGATCACGCCGTCATCTGCAAGCTGCCTTAGCGTGCAATTTTCGGCAAGACAATCGTCAATGTCTTTAACATAGAAGTTGTACAGAAGGGGACTCAGACATGAGCCCTGAGGGAGCCCCATGTAGCTAATTCGTGAAATTGCCGAGTTGCCATGAGAGAAGCTCATTTGTTTCTTGGACAATAAATTGTACAAGAAATTATTGATAATTGGTGAAAGCCCACTGGTATGGAGTTTGTCCGAAAGGATGTCGATACAAACAGAATCAAAAGCACCTTTAATGTCCAAGAAAACTGAACCCATCTGCTGTTTTTCAGCGTAGGCTAATTGGATTTCAGTTGAAAGCAACGCAAGGCAGTCATTCGTTCCTTTGCCCCTTCGAAATCCAAATTGCGTATCTGAGAGTAAGCTATTCGCCTCGACCCACTTGTCCAAACGAAAAAGAATCATTTTCTCCAACAATTTCCGAATGCACGACAGCATCGCGATGGGACGGTACGAGTTATGATCCGACGCGGGTTTACCGGGTTTCTGAATGGCTATAACTCTCACTTGTCTCCAATCGTCCGGAACAACGTTTTGCTCCAGGAATTGATTGAACAAGTTCAACAAGCGCCTCTTAGTGACGTCTGGGAGGTTTTTGAGCAAGTTGAACTTGATTCGATCCATTCCTGGAGCCGAGTTGTTGCATGAAAGAAGAGCAATTGAGAATTCAAGCATCGAGAACGGGGAGTCCATGTTATTCTTTTCCACCGACGTATCGCGAGTGTTGTTTCGAACCGGAACCGAATCAGGGCAAACTTTGCGCGCAAAATCAAAAATCCATCTGTTAGAGTACTCCTTGTCCTCATTGACCGACGATGGCGCGTTACGCATTCTCCTGCCGACATTCCAGAGCGTTTTCATGGAAGTTTCTCGCGTTAACCCTTCGACGAACCGACGCCAGTAGCCGCGTTTTTTGGCCTTGATCAAGCTCTTAAATTTTTCCTCCAGTGCCGTGTACCGCTCAAAGTATTCGTAGGAACCGTGCTTACGAAGTTGTTTAAACGCAGCTGACTTATCATTATTCGCGTTGGTGCATTCCTTGTCCCACCACACAGTGGGAGGACGTTTACGAATGGAAGCACCAGGAACTGGCTTCGTTTGAGCTTGAAGCGCGCAATCCACTATGAGCCGCGATAGGAAGGAGTACTCATCCAACGGAGAGAGAACGTCGACCGATTCTGAGCCGCCACGGACCGCGTTCGCGTATTTTTCCCAATCGATGTTTCTCGTGAGATCGTATGCGATGTTGATTGGATGTTGCGAAGATGAGCCATTAGAGATCGAGATTTTGATGGGCAAATGATCACTACCATAGGGGTCTTGGATTACCTCCCACATGCAATCCAATGATAGTGAGTTCGAACAAAGTGACAAATCTAATCTGCTCTCTTTTGCTGGAGGTTTGGCTATTCGTGTTACTTCTCCGGTGTTTAAAATAGTCATGTTAAAATTGTCGCATAGGTCATAGATGATGGTTGAGCGATTGTCATCGTACAGCTCTCCCCAGCCTGTACCGTGGGAATTAAAATCCCCTAAGATCAAACGCGGCTCAGGTAACACTGAGCAGATGTCCGATAAAGTTCGATGAGAAACAGCCGTTCTCGGAGGGATGTATAGCGAGGCAATACTGAGGCTTTTACCTCGAATATTCACCTGGCATGCGACAATTTCAACACCCGACATTGCAGGAAGGACAATTCTGTAAAAAGAGTGACGTTTGTCGATCCCCAAGAGCACACCCCCATAGGAGTCTACACGATCGAGACGGATAATGTTAAAGCTGTGAAGAGAAAGATCGATGTCTGGAGAAAGCCATGTTTCGCAGAGAGCAAAAGCATCACAATTCAGGTTGCTTAGCAAGAATTTGAACACGTCTAGCTTCGGAAAAATGCTTCTACAATTCCATTGTAGGAGAGATAACGTATCGTTTTTTGGAAAATTATCCATCGAAGGATACGATCGAAGCAAGGAGGGGCCACTTGGAAGCTAGTTGCTTCAGAAGAGGTTTCACGATTGGAAGCATCATATCAATGATGTTCCTTAGAGGGTCAGAGATGTTAAGCAAATCGAGAATGCTGTCCACTATTCCAGAAAACGTGAACATGGCGTTACGCTGTTCTGGCTGTGAAACTGGGATATCTGGGGTTTTAGATGTTCCCGGAAGCTGTGGAAATGCTTTTTCGTAATCGACAGGCTTGAAACCCGGTGGAACGGGTTTCGGGACATTTCCACGGCCTCTTGATTTATCCAAGGGGGCTTGGGAGTCAGTGCTAGTGGTGTTTTTAGTTTTCTGCAAACCATTCCTGGCTCGCTTCCTAGAAGGACCTTGGAAAACAAAATGACTTCCGTCATTGCCCCCGGCATCAGTGTCGTCCTCATCAACTGGGAGAAGGTTGAAAGGGTTGTTGTCATTTTTTTCCGGAGTGATTCTGGGAAGAGGATTAAAAGCCTTCAAGATCTCTGCAAAGGAACGCTGAGAGCGTGCCTTCAGGGACCGTTTAAGTTTTTCCCCCTGTTGCTTGTACTTAGGGCAATCTGCGAGAGGATGTGGAGATGCCAAACAATAAACACATTTGGGAGGAGTACTACAAGCACCCTCCGCATGCTTCTCGCCGCACAGATCGCAGCGTGGCTTGTTGCCGCAGAAGGCAGCGGTGTGGCCTAATTGTTTACACTTTGTGCAGTTCATCACCCTCGGTACAAACAACCGCACAGGAAGTCGAACCCTTCCAATCCTGACGTAATCTGGCAGTGCCGATCCGGAGAAGGTCACCCGAAACGAGTCTGATAGCAAGTAGGTTTTTTTCGTCCCATCCAGGAACGCTGACTGCATTTGAATGCAGTCGAGAATTTTTACTTCAGGAAGGGTGGGGTTCTTGAAGACACCAACCCCCCTCTTCAGGAAGTCGTCGCTGGTCATACTCGACTCGGTGACCACTCCATCGATTTCGACGTCGTGACATGGGATATAAACACGATACTCTAACGTAAAGAGCTCGCAGGCAACAATCTCGTTTGCCTGCTTACGACTACCAACAGTGACGCGCAGTTTGTCTGGCCGCACCTTCAAAACGTCGGTCACGGACGAGAAACGATTGAAAAGATCCTTTTCGATCCGGTTAACATTTAGAGCTTTTTGCTTGGGCCGGAAGAAAACAACCCATGGACCTTTCGAGGCGTCTGGGTATGCCTTGTGGCGGGGGGCAGCTTGCGTTAGTTTTACAGGGATAGGCGGTGTTGGCGGAGACGGCTTAGTCGGTGTTGGGGGTGACGGGTTAGGTGGGGTAGAGGGAGACGGTGTGGGTGGTGAGAGGGGAGAAGGTGGGGACGGTGAAGGCTTAACCTTTGGGATGGTTCCGGTATTCTTTTTTGTCATACGGGATTTCATTTCCACATCGGACTGCTCATCGTCAGTGGGAACGGCAGAAAGGGAAGTCCCCTCGCCATCACTACTACTATCCATTGCGGGGCAACTACCACCGCAATAGATTTAAAAAAAAAACTACACACACTAGGGTACACAGAACACACAGGGAAGGAGAAAGCGAATCAAAAAAAACTATTTGCGGGGAAAGGGAGTAAAGGAAGAAGAATAGAACGAGAACAAAGGGCAATACAATATATTTGCTACTTATCCGGTACAACGTTATGATGGTGAAGACGATCTACGCTGCTATCCGGTGGTGCTGATCGTTGTTGACAGTTCGGTTTGGCACGATTGGAAAAAAAAAATGCTACCGTCAGGGACGGCTGGGGAAGCTCGATTCCACGAAGAGCGTTGCTGGCTGCTTGTGGTATTATCAACTAGCACTATCACTTGCACACTTGCGCGATGGCGTAAAAAAACCCGAAACGGGAAAAAACACAGCTCAAGAACGACGGAGAGAAAACAATGCACGTCCGGTACGGTCAACGCTCGTCGATGGAGTGTATCTGTTGGCTCTTGTTGAACATGGGATCGGCTAGCGCTAAATTTTGAGGAATCTGCCAGTCATTGACGGGAATGTCCTGTGTGGGAAGATCTGCTGTTACCGTGTCCATTAGTAGGAACTCAACGCCACATTCGAAAGCATCGTTCCTCGACTTGATTCGAGCGAAGATTGATTCTCGCACCTTCTTCGAAAGATTACCAGCCCCCTGGATGATCACGTTCACAGAACTCCTCTTCAAATGCAACCTGCGTGCCAAGCGATCAGTAATTAAATTCGGCTGAGAAGCGCTGTCGAGCAAAGCGCGAGCAATGTGATCTTGACCGTACGCATCAACGACCTTCACCAACACCGTCAAAAGGAAAACGTCTTCTCGAGGCTGTGGAGCAGAAGCACTGACAACGACCCGGGAAATACTTTCAGCTGCTGCAACGGTGGATTGGGAGGCTGGCTCGGGCACAGAAGAAGCGCTAGACTGAATGGCTTGAGTCGGCATAGAAGTACGAACGGAAGATGACTCGCTTGCTGGCCTTGAATTCTCGCCGGAATGCAGCATGGTGTGGTGACGCTTGTTGCAGTGCCTGCAGTTGTAGTTCGAAGGACAATTTCGAGCAATGTGGCCACCCTTCAGGCAGTTGTGGCACAAACGTTTGTTTGAAATGAGTTGCTGTCGTTCGGACTGGGAAAGTTGGTTGAATTTCTCACATTTCATCAACGGATGTTCCTGGTTGCAAGCCGGACATTTGCTACCAGAAGTAGAAGTGGAAGCACAAGATGAGAGGCGAAAATGCGATGGCTTCCTGGAAGCATAAGTGGACTCATTCGAAGTGGATGCAAGCTGATGATGGTTCACCAAGATGGATTCCAAAACTCGCATACGACGCTGAAGAAACTCGATCAGACAGTTGTAGTTTGGCTCGTTGGTGGTTGACGCGTGATCTTCCCAAGCCTTGAGCGTATCGTTGGGAAGCTTCGTACACAGAAGATGCTCCAGGATGCTGCTCCAGGAATCCGTTGGTTCACCTAGTTGACACAAATCTTCGTATGGCGCTGGAATTCGTCCACCAGCGTGTGCAATGACGCAGCAGTTTCCTTCTTCGCCGATTGAACCTCAAAAAGAGCCTGCAGATGTCGCTTTTTTAACAGGTAGTCGTTGGCGTACCTGTCAACCAACGTTTGCCATGCCAGATTGTAATTTGCAGAACTGATCGCGATAGATTCAATCAGCTGTGCCGCTTCACCCTTCAAAGCTGCCCTCAGGTAATGGAATTTCTGAATCGCTGGAACCTCGGCGTTAGAGTGGATCAAAGCCAAGAATGTGTCATGGAACCCTAGCCACTTCATATAGTCCCCGTCGAATTCAGGAAGCGAAATTGTAGGAAGCTTCAACCCAGAGAGAGCGGAATTGTGCGAAGAGGATTCAGGGATGCGAGCTTGCTGAGTGACAACAGGAAGTTTGGAGATCAAGTCGGCTTTTATTCTAAAGAGCCGAGGCTCAAACTCGGCACGGACATTAGCATTCACTTGCCTACCTTCATCGCCGTCTTCGATGTCCTCTAGCTGCCCCTGCACCTCCTCCAATGTGGCCCACATGTTGTTCAGGTACTCGAGGCGAATGGGCACCTGCATCCGATCGCGTTGCTCGTCGAAGGAGTTCACGAACGCCTCTGCCCGACCCAGCGCGGTGATCATCGTTGCCCTCCGGGATAGCAGAGTCGCCTTATCCAGCTGCAGCGCCATCTTGGAATGGGTAACACGGCACTCGATGCTCCGTAGATGGCGAAGGGTCTGTCAAACAAAAAAGACCACGATAGACCGGACAAAAAGAGATGGTCACTTGGAATGGTACTCACCAGTTCCAAGGCAAGTATGTGCCTTGAATTTCAATAAATCCGCAAACTGGAACTCGTATACACGCGGCCCGTGCTGGCCGAACTTGATGGCAAGCGATGATGTAAGAAGGCGGCAAAAATCCAGGAAAACCACCGGAAAGTGGCGTAGCTGGCTGTCGAGAAGCTTCGATGCCGCTCGAAGAATCCAGAATACTGTGTTGCTGGATGATCACTGTTGCTTGCAAATAATCAGAAGCAGGAACGGGCAGGAATGGCGTCACTAAACCGTTGAAACAATGCGCCGATTGTTCAAGGATTGCCTGGATACAATGGCGGAGCAGTGTCGCTTGGATAGCAGCTTCTATCCTTCCACAATGGCGCTAGATGGCCGAAAACGTGATGGCGGTATTCGTATAGCCGGACGGAATGTCCCCACAATGACGAGAATTTGGTTATAGATGTGCTCCAAACGGCTTGGCAGCAATCGACACACCGGCAGAAAAACATGCGAAGGAAAGAAAAAGAAATCTAAAGGGCACCTGCGAGACCCTGGAAACCTATCGGACAGGTCGTTACCTGATGCCCGATTATTCGAGCCTTGAATGGATTAAATCACTACCAGTGATATGGCGAGAGCAAGATGGCAACGCCCAGTGGATCGTCCCACGTGCTTCGACGGATGCTGGATCCGGGACGGTGTCGACTATCCTGGTCACGGCACCAATTTTATGTTGGCGCTTACCACGAAATTGTAGTCCTACGTTGTGTTTTACGTGTGAACTTGGTGGTGGGCAGCAACGGAAAAACAGCCACCACTGACAACAGATGACACCGGCAGGAAGCAGCACAGCAGATTTGCAGTAAGTTTTTCTCACTTCACTTTCTTCCTTTCCTAACTAACTAACTCACAGTAAGCGGCAAGTAGGAACAAACTTTATTTGAGAATAACTTTCACACTTTACAATTTTCACTTTATTTAACTTCACTGCTCGGGTGTTCAACTTAATCTAATCGTCGGTTCGGTTACAAAATTCGTTTTTGGCTCACAAACAATCAGCTGTGCAACCGCGGTTGCCAGAACGGCTAGAAAAACTAGTCTAATTTGTCGTCTGCTACCACCAGCTGATCGCGGGGGGAAGGAAATCGCGTTCTGTGTGGCCAGAACCAACAGGCAGTTATAGCGAGCTTCTGCTGTATCGATATCAAGGTCATTCAACACGTTACAGTCGATCCGGGACAAGAAACGTCTCAGCAAACGGAAATTGGTCTTCCGAAAATTGAGACGATTGGCAGTCGAGGTTTCATCAAAAAGAATTTGAGATACGTTCGCGATAGATATATCCAAAGCAGGGTGAAAATTGTCAAGAGGAACGTTGACGTCAGGCGCTTCAGCGACGACACAGTCCATAAGTGCTTTTTCGGAACAAGGTTTATCTGGCTCAGTCTATGAAAAGCCGTGCCGTCTTCAAGCAAGCGTCTGGCAGGATTAGTTGAAGATGCAATCGGATCTGGAAATGCGTAACCTTGACCTGAGGGCGACCAGATAAGCCCAGACTCATTAAAGTCACCAAGCAGAAGAAGCACATCCGTTATATCAGCCAAGGACGATGCAAATTCTGCAGCATCTAGATGAAGCTGCATTGTGCTGCTGTCATGTCGACGTTCAGGGGGAATATACACCGCTCCAATGGGGATGTTCCGCGAAGTGAGGCTGACCTTAGCCCAAACCGCTTCAATTGTAGTAAATAGTTCGTTGGAGATCACGCAGGAGGCGCATGGGATGGAAACGGCGATAAGGACACCACCACCGCGAGTACGAATGCTGTTGGATGAATTACGGTCTAATCTGTAGACAGTAAAAGAGTAGCCAAACAGTTGCACTGAATTGATCCTCCCATCGAGCCAAGTTTCCGTGAATACATAAACGTCATATTCCCCGTCAAGCGCAGCCAGATAAACATCGTCCAATTTAGTCATGAGTCCTCTGGTGTTCTGATAGTAGACTCGTAAACTGCTAGAGGGTTCGACGCGAGCCGTGTCAATGGTAATTTGTCCAGGATCCGAGTGGGAGAACGGTGAACTATCAGGCAACGAAATATCACCTGGCAGTTGAATTCAAATGGACGAGTTCATACTTGCCGTAAACGAGTGGTTGGAAAACCCATTCACCAGGGCCGCATACAGGACCGGGATGGCTGCAGGTCGCTGGCGGGAACGGCTTCACTGTGGCTGGGGGGCTCGGGGGCTTGCATGATGCCAACGGCAGTGCGTCCCAGTAAACAAACAGAAGTTGATTCATCATAATGGTGTACGCCGTCAATCTTCGGCAGGACTAGATCAGAGGATCTGGATGCTTCCGGTGAATTTTCTGTGGAGCGTCACGGCTTCTGGCATGGTGGGGCTGCTAATGTCATTTTCAGACCACAATTGTCGAGGAGCAGACATATACGATGGCACTCTAGAAACTAACAATTTTTCTGGCAGAGCAGTTATTGCTTTGCTGATTGTGACCCCCTCTCCTAACTCAAACGCAGGGCTGGGACGATAGAGGATTCCACAAGGCTAGTGGCAAGTGTGCGACCGAGTGTCGAGTTGAATAAAGCAGGTTGTGCTTTTATCGGAAATAATCGGTTGTAAGCATAATACATTTCAGGAAGTGGATTGTTCGAAATATCATCGTACTTGCCTGAGATAGGGTTTTTTGAAGACCCCTTCTTCACATCCAAACACAGGACAGGGACGGCTGGAGGTCGCTCGCAGGAATAAATAACTTGACTGTGATGGATGAATTAGGGGCTTCCATAACACATATGACAGGCGTGCGTCCCGGTGTCCAACTTGGGGCAACCACGAAGGAGTTCATCGTTAAAGTCCGACTAGAAGTCATAATCGTTTCAGGGACGGAATTATTCAGAAATCTTAAATAATGCATACATGCATGTACAAAATTGGGTTGTTTATGCCAAGTGTAGGTAAAAATTACACGAGTGATATTTTACGCGACGTTTACAATTCCATTTTTCCGTCCTGTGCGTGGCGAATATTGATAAGCTTCAGTACCTACATATCAGGCAAATAAACAGAATCAACACTTTGTAATTCAAGCCGGCCCTAATCTTCAAATTACCCCTTCTGAAATCAATCACCCGTGCACGAGTAGGTCGCATGTTTGAAAAATGGAAGAGGAAAACTCCGGTAAAAGGATATAAATCGTCGATCGACCGATGGATGTGTAAACAACTTCCCCCAACCTAGATGATTTTTTTTTGTCCTTTCGAGTTCACCACCCTCGGTGTCGGTGGAGGTGGTCACGAGCGAACACGAAACACACGTTAATTTTAATTAGTGAGTTTCCTGCTTTGATATCCTTCGACCACGATGGCGATTACGAGGACGACAACGGCGGCATGTCCTTGGCTCGTTAGAGTGGAGAAATGTAGTTCAAGATCGATCGCTGGTATTGTGTTCCGTTTCCTTGGTCGTAAAATATAGTTGTTTTCGATTTGTTGACTTCTTCGCAGGGGATTTATTGGAAACGGTAAATAAGTTGGGTGTTGTTTATTGCAATTCCAACTGGCAGCTGCATGCACTCTGCCCAGTCTGCAGCGGGTAATTGATCTGTTTTCAATTTATTGTCGTATGCCGTTTTTAATTAAATTCAACTTCTTGAACATGTTCATTTGTTTTTCGTTTGCTGGAGTACTTAAAAACAAATCTTATTTTGAATGTATTATAGGAAATCTGTTGAAAAGTAAAACACTAAGTGAACCGGAACTATTTTAATGCTATGCTAATCATAAACAAAGAACTTGTGACTGATTCCATTACAGCTAATTTTCCTCATTCATCATGCAAACGTTTGCACCCATTGGCGACAGATGGCACTCGCGAGCCATATGATCCATCTATCCTTTCGGGCGGAAGCATGCGAGTGAACAGCGTAAGCATGGCGTCAAATTCCACCAGCATAACATGAAACTTTGCTCATAAATGTTGAAAATCCTCGAGCTTCCCATGTCGTCGTCACTGCTGGTGTCGTCCAAGACTCACTGACGTTGGTTTGGTGTAGATGAAGGCGATATCACCGGTCCTCATGTTCCTCTGTAATGACTTTCGGCACTGCTGCATAGTGGGACGAAATTAAAATTAAAAGAGGAACATGGCCATTTGTGACAAAACTACAAGACGTCAAGAATGTTTCTTCAATTTTTAAATACTTTATTGCAGTGGTAAATTTTTTGCTTAAGGGGGGTATACACTAAGATAAAAAAAAAACTTGTTAAAATTGATGATTATCTATGAAAACATTGTAGATAAAGTCATTTTAAGAAACTTTGTCCAAGACGTAAATTTTCCATCTGTCAAGTGGACGAAGTTATAGGGTGAAAATTGAGTACAAACGGTAGTACCCCCTTAAAAACTGTTTTTTACCATAACTTTTTAGTTTGAATATAATTTTTTTTTCAATGTTCTACAAAGTTGTAAGAGCTCTAAAACTACACATTTTGTTACAAAAAAAAACAAATTGCTATCTCTTTGTTTTAATGATTTAAGCTCCTTTTTTATAAATTAGTAACGCTATCTATAAAGGGGTGTATATTACAGGTTAGCAAGTATTAGCAGCTAATCTCAACGTTATTTTATTCAGCATATTCTACTCTACTGTTACATATACAATTCATAGGGGGTCCAAGGAAATGCATAATAAATTTTCTAAAACGGTACCTCAAAGTTTTGTTACGTTTTGCTGATTTCATGACAATTTTTTTCAAGAATTAAAAATTAGAGTGGGTTCTCCACTGCTCTTTTAATGCTTATTCTGGTCCCCAACAACCAGGGCTATGCATTTTCGAAACAATGGCTTCTGATGACATCGACGATGGAGCTCGACATTCGAGATCCAGTTGT